GCACCCCAAACCATAACTCCAACAGTGTGATGAACATGTCTTTCAACAAAAAACTGTGGATTCCTCCTTTCACCACGTCACCTTCTAACCCTGGCACGACCATCGTGCATGCCTAAACAAAATCGAGACTCGTCACTAAAGACAATACTGTTCCATTCCTGATCCCAGAGTGACCGTTGTCTGCACCACTCAAGGCGATTACGTCGGTGTTCTCGAGTTAAAGGGAGGACACAGTGTGGCCGGTATGAAAACAAGCCAAAACTTCTCATTCGTCGGTAAACACTTCGCATGCCAATAGGTCTTCCGTGTTCTGCAAACCATTCATTTGCAATGGACCTGGTAGTGGAGAAACGGTCCCTTAAGGCCAATAATCTTAGGCGGCGATCTTCACGGTCTGTTGTTCTACGGCGGCGTCCAGTGCCCCTTGCTCTTTGCGTACGGCCTTCTCGAAGCCATGCCTGAGAACACCTGACCACAGTGTCTACACTTCTTTGCACTCTAACTGCAATTGCCCGAAAAGAAAGTCCAGCTTCTCGAAGTCCCACTATACGGCCCCTATCAAACTCACTAAGTTGACGAAATCGTACAGGTCTCCGTACTCTAGGCATCGTAACCGATCGTAAAGAATGTCAAGAACCAAAATCCGCCAACGTTGATTCTTTACTGCGGCTGAAATATTCATTTTTAGAGCGTTAGTGAATTAAAAAAAAGCAGTTTAAAAACCGGAATGTCCAACTGGTAAGGCTGAAAATTTTTTCACTTGTTATTTACAGTAAGATTCACCAACTTTTATTGAAATAAAACCATTTAAACTGGGTGTTCGGATTTATATGTCACTTAGTATATACGTCACTATAAGTTCTCATTATTTTCAAAACTCTCAATATGTTTAAAATCCTCAATATTTGAAAAAATTAAAAGGATTAAAAGTTCTAAGAAGTTGCGGAACTGTTATCAAAATTTTCTCGGTTTTCAATATTGCTGAAATTTAAAAATTTCCAAAAATGATGGACTGAGAACTTAATTTCCAATATATCACCAAATAAAGAAATTTAGGTACTGCTGTTCACTCTGTAACTTGGATTCTCGATTACTATGATCAATGATCTGAATTTGTTGTAGAGGAAGTCAAAATGATAATACAGTTTTTGCATTATGTGGACAATACGGTTGAATAAGAGAGACGACCACAGAAGCAGTGGTAACAGACTGGAAAACATGAAAACTTTGGAAGCCAGGCCTAACGGATGGGCTTGACAGATTTTCAGTTGGAATATTTTGAAAATACTGTGCACGAAATAAATAACCTACTAATTTCGTGCGTTTTTTGATTTTCAATTGCTTTTAATTTTTTTAAATTTCATTTTCACGTCTGCATCAGCCGGTAGATGACATTAGGCTGAACAAGAAAGTTGCAGATTTTGACCTGTATGGAGTCAAATATATGAATCAAAATCTGCGAGTTTCGTTGTTTTTTCCGTCTCCTGGCGAATAAATCTAAGGCAATCCAGAGGTATCCCTACATCTGTGTTCTACTTTACGAGTTTCTTTATTTCACAATTCTGTTAGTTAAGCAATCTTAAACTACTTATAATAATATTCTCCTATCTAAAAATCCACTGACAAAGCCACCAGTGTCGTGTTTAGTTAAGCCCCGAAATACCATGTTAAAATTTGATGGCGCCGCCCCAGGAATAACTGACTCAGAAATAACAAACATAGATTAAGTTTATTTTTGTCTGTTGCCTATTCTCATCCAAATCGATTATTATAACAGAAATTAAACATATGTACATTAAAAAAAAAGAACTTGAACCCAATAACGTCTGCATTAAACTTCATTCATCATCCAGCTGGTATTAAACGTGAATAATTGTATACATGGAAAATTAATTTGAAGAAACAAATTAAAAATTCTAAAAATTGATAGGTAAGTATTCTACTGATCCCTTCCTTTGAATACGCTCGGGTAAATAACTTAAAAATCCATGCAGTGGACCCCAGTTACGGGGCTTAAGCTTAAGATCACCTTTTAAAATAGTCCAAGATCAGAATTAAAAACGACCTTTCACCCATCTGTTTAATATCATTTAGCATTTAGTATGTTAAAAAATATATCGTGAGTGTGTCGGTTAAAAAATTCCTGACAAGACTATGATTAAATAAAAATTGAAAAATAACTTTGTACTAAACAAAATAATAATACTGTAGTTTGGTGCGGCAGATCACAGTTCTGTCATGTGTTATCAAATAGTAGGTACATATAGTCAACGCCAAACAAAGTGGCGTGCACGTCATCAAGGTGGGTGTGTTGAAAAATTTACATTGTTGCCAAACTTTTTGTAAAATAATAAAATTTATTATTTACATATCTAGGTTTATAAGCAATATTAACCTCAAATGAGAACAAAAATAATAGTATAATAAAATTATAGATCTGTACTTGCATAATCATTAAGTATGACAATTATTGATCAGATGACACTATGAAACTACCATATTTAATTGATAGCTTAAAGGTACTGAATAAAAATCCAAATGGGGTCCTCCAAATTTTATGCATGGTATTTATTTTACAGAATTTATACAGAAAAATGCATTCTAAAATTAGGTAAGCTACTGGTGTAAGCTTTTTCTGTACAATAAAGTTAGTCGGAGTTTCTTTCTTCAGCGCTGTCTGAATCTGAATCTTCATCACTCTCAAAGTTGATTATTAAAGGTTCGATATCTGGTCGATCAAAAATTCGTTCTCTTTCATACCATTTAAAAATTTCTTGCTCAGTATGTCGAACACTATTTTTCCACATGTCTGGGGTAACCGTTTGTAGAGCCTCGTTCCACATATCCAAACAGTCTTTTTCACTGTTACCATCTCTACCAATATGTCTGTTATAGTAACCTTTTGCTATGCCCCAAATTAACTCAATAGGGTTAAATATACAATGGTAAGGAGGCAGACGAAGAACTTTGTGCCCATGTTGTTCCGCCAATTCATCAATCACGTATATTTTAGGTGGTTTGTTTCTAAAAAAGCAGTTATTTTAAGAATAGGAATAAACAAAAGAAATATAAACTCTCGACCAAAATATATATAATTAAGAAGCATTATGTACCGAGCAACAATACTCAATAGCTCTGTTTTAAACATTGTGTTTAAAAATGGTATGTTTTGATTTGTCAACCAGTCTTGGATATTTTTTTTTGTCCATGCATTGTTGGGCACTTTGTTCAATATCATGCTGTGATAAGGGGCGTTATCCAGTATAATCATAGATGGACTCTCCAATTTTTCTAATAACTGGTGTTGAAACCATTTCAAAAAATTGTCCTGGTTCATCTCTCCATGGTAATCGCTCAATTTTGTTTTCGAAGAAAATATCGCTTCACTACCCTCAATAAACCCATTTTCATTTCCAGCATGTAATATAATGTATCTAAAATATATTAGTTTTAAATTTTATAGTGCAAATTGTGTAAAAGTACATACCTTTTACCATCTGTTTTAATAGCTTTCACGCTTTTTTGGTTTCCATTTTGCCAAGAGCGACCTATGGTCCCATTTTGAAATATCCAAGTTTCATCGAGGAAGACAAACTGGTATAAGGCCTCAACCTTGGCTTGATTATATTGCCTTAGAAATTCCACCCTTTTCAAAGCTATACTTGGTAGTTCCATGAGCCCTCGTCGCGGATTGTCCTTAAGCCACTTAAATCCAAGATCTCTAAGCAACCGCCTTGAAGACGTGGCACTACCATCAAATAATGCCCTATCTCTTAATCGAGACCATAAAGTTTGTATCGTAACTTTTTCTTCTGAAACCATGTGTAATATGACATTATAATTTAGTTAACAAATTAATGCAAATTTCTGATAAGTTATTATAATAAGATCTTACTTTTGTGATACATATTATAGATCACTTCTCGAATGGCACTTGTATCCAATGTCGCTGTGTTGGTTACACGTTTAATATAACTCCGCTTTTTCTTGGGCGATTCTAAATTTGCATCACTTTTCACACCCTCGGAAATACGACTAACTGTCCTTAAACTAATTTTTAAAGCAGCAGCAACACGCTACAAAAAATGAAATAAAATTTCACTATTATTAATATACATTACATATAATTATTAGTAACCTACCTCTTGAACAGCATTTAAACGCAACAAAGGCCCGTTGTTGTCCCTTTCTTGCTCAAAGTAGTGCATTAACGAGGCCACGAGTTCCTTACACCGACTATTTAACTGTTTGGGCATCTTTATATACCAAAATTGCCTTTATCTACTCGTAAAATGAATAATTTTGTTTTGAAACAAACAGTTGTTGATTTACAGTATGCGGGGCCAAAGGATTTATAAAGATTTGAAATGCCACGAATTGATTCAGTGTCAAAATTAATACAAATGTCAGTTCCCAGTTTAAATAAGTTTCAAGGTGACAATGTGTCAACGCTGCGAAATCGGTTTAGTGCGTTTACATGTCGATAAGTGATTGGAGCGTTTGCAAAACATTTTATTTCGCATAATGCGTCTAAATTTATCAGAAAGCAACTTATGTGATATTTTAATAACAATGTTTATATGACTATTAACCATAATAAGAGAGTAATGACCATTTTACAATTTATATATCACATTAATATGAAACTGCAATAGAGCAATTGTTTGTGATAGAAACCTAGGCATTAGGTCGGGGAATTTTTATCGTGATGACGTGCACGCCACTTTGTTTGGCGTTGACTATACATCTATGTATAACAGTAATGGGAAAATTATGCATTTTCGAATATTTCTTGAGATAGACAAAGGTAACGGGTTTTTCTCAACATTATGATTATGCTGATTCTATTTGATTAGGAATTATTAGTTAACCCACTTGTGGTATATTTTTCATCATACTAAATTTGATATAAAATATTTGTCATCCTTCAATCGTCGTACGTTTCTAATACTGATCTTCTACTAAAAGCATCATCTGCCCTACATGAAGTGGATACTTACTTTTGATCATTTCTGTAATCCGAAAGTACCAAATCTATGAAGTATCCAACAAAAATGAAGCACAGAACGTTCAGCTGCATCACAACACTTCTTCACCAATCACACACGAGCTCATGCGAGACAATAAGATGCCAAGACAACTGAACCGCGTATATTTGACAGCCTACCGAGACCAACTGGAGGAAATGTCTTGGACGGATTAGTTTTTAAACTCTTATCGTGTGGTTTTATGATTATTGGCAAACCCGAGCCTGCCTTCTTAGGCGTCGATATCGGCTACCATTTATTTTGCGGTCGTTCAGCTTGGAATTGACTTCCACGCTGAGATAACGTTATATAAAACGCCTGAACATACGGGTTGAGAACTGTGTTAGCGACATACTGTACTTGGCCATGATCCAGCTTTGTTCCGGTTATTAGTTCAAAAATTGGCGTGAAAAATGTAGATTATTGCAAATCGCGGTACGCTGAAAATTTTCAAGGTTAAAGTGATTTTTGATGACTCTATGCAGGTCTTTCCGAAAGAAACTAGCTGTCATCAACTCCATGTTCACTTGTAGCTACTGTGCGTGTCGCCTAAGCATCATAGCACCTGAGCTGGTTTGGCTTTGATGTGATCTACCACCTGCTTCGGAGATAGCTGTACGGGAAGTCATTTATAGCTTCTAAGCTGTAACTTTTAAGCCAGGCATGGAAACACTGCAGTGCATAGCGATGGTTAGCGTACTAATAAATCCTGTATTGATGATGTTTGGTTTGAGCCATTCCTCCATAGGTAGCGTTAACAGCGAATAGGCGCGGTTGGGCTAGCGACTACTGAGTACACAAGTTGACATTATATCGATTTTTAATAACATTCCGTTGATTTCTTACGTAACACCCCTGCGGGTCATCAGATGTCATATAAGTTTGTGATGGTATGGTTATGGTTTCAAATTGGCAATGTGAAGACGATCATCAGGTCAGGAAACCTCGATATACCAATGGGTGATTTTTTTGCTAGTATCTTTTTGGCAACACTGTTTTTTACAGACGACGCGTGAATCGTGTCTTGTGTCATTGTCAAACTTGTTCAGTTTGGTCTATAATTTAACTATGAGTCGACTTACAAACGAACAGCGCTTGCAAATTATTGAATTTTACTATCAAAATTCATGCTCGGTTAAGAGAGTGAGGACTGAAGAAAATATTGCGGCTGTATCCGCCAGCGTTAGTGATGACCGTGAGATGTCGATTCGCCGCCGTTCGCAGCTCTGTTACTCCACTACGTGGGAAATTTTGCGACAGGATGTGGGTGTAAAACCTTATAAGATACAGCTGGTGCATGAATTGAAGCCACACGACCTCCCACAACGTTTCCCATTTGGTGAATGGGCGCTGGCAAAGTTGGAGGAAGATCCACATTTTTATCGAAAAATTGTGTTCAGCGACGAAGCTCATTTCTGGTTGAATGGGTACGTTAACAAGCAAAATTGCCGCATCTGGAGTGAAGACCAGCCAGAAGCATTGCAAGAGCTACCAAGGCATCCCGAAAAAATCACTGATTGGTGTGGATTATGGGCCGGTGGCATCATCGGGCCGTACTTCTTCAAAGACGACAATGGCCGGAACGTAACTGTGGATGGCGAGCGCTACCGTGCGATGATAACAAACTTTTTTTGTGCCCAAAATGGAAGAACTAGACTTGGCTGACATGTGGTTTCAACAAAACGGTTCCACATGCCACACCGCACACGAAACAATGGCCCTATTGATAGGCGAGTTCGGTGAACAGTTTATCTCACGTTTGGGGCCCGTCAATTGGCCGCCTAGATCGTGTGATTTAACGCCGTTGGACTATTTCTTGTGGGGCCATGTCTACAGGGATAAACCAGCAACGATTGACGCACTGGAAGCCAATATTGAAGCATTTATTCGTGAGATACCGGCCGATATGTTGGAGAGAGTGTGCCAAAATTGGACCTTGCGCATGGGCCATCTAAAGCGGAGCCGCGGCCAACATTTACATGAAATAATCTTTAAACATTAAATTATATCGACCGTTCTATCGACTCAAATAAAGATTTAATCGTTTTTTCAAATTTTTTGTGTTTTTTTTGAAAATCAAATCCTATACCTCTTAAAAAATCATCCGTTATAATGGATGAGTTTGGCTACGAATGCTGGCCTGCCAGAGAGGAAGGGCTTTAACAAAAAAAGCATATACCCTAGGGAGATTATCTGCAAAAAAATGCACCACAGGTGTTTCAAAACAGCGTCATTTTCATGTGCCTTTGTGCTCTCTGACAGTGGAAAGGTGAAACCCAAATTTGCACCTAAGCCGAGAATTTTTTCTGAACTTTTGTTTGAAATAATTGCATATACTTTTTGTCCGGATCCTCTCGTTCGCTGAGTAATGTTAGGAAACCTTTTTCCGTGAAAGTGAAGGAGAGCTTTTGAAATATGCTATTTTTACTGTCTGTTGCGTACGTACTTTATTTTTGTTGATACCACAAGCAAATAATACTATTTGTGGAGTTTTTAATTTAAATGCTATTATAAATGTAGTTGGGATTGCGGTGTGAAATTGGTGTTTCTTTAGCATGTAGAACGTTGTAAATATAATGACCGCCAAAATCTGTATGTCCAATAAACTTTCTGTGTGTAATTTTGCTCAGCAAGGGAATAGACTTATACAGCTTGCTAGACGTACTCGTCAAGCTGCTGTTGTTCCCCCTGTTTTCCTGGCGAATAAAGTTATATATTTTCAAGGATTTTGATTGAAATGATAAAAATAAGTATAACAAAATATATATACTAAGTGACATATAAATCCGAACACCCAGTTTAAATGGTTTTATCTTAATAAAATTTTGTATAAGTACTTAATGAAGCATAATAAGTAAATGATAAAAATTTCAAAATGATTGCACTGCTTTAAAGCCCTTTGACCTTTAACAATGTGTGGATGCACCCTGATGTGCTACGCATTCTCCAACGCGCCTAGTCATGCTTCTGATCAGGTGGTCAATGTCCTCCTGTGGTATCTCATTCCAGGCAACCACCAACTCCTCTCGAAGTGCTTCTAGAGTCTGAGGAGGACGTTGCAAATTGAGCAATCTCCTACCCATCATATCCCACACGTGCTCAATTGGGGAGATCTTGGTGGCCATGGTAACAATGTGATATCATTATGTTGGAAGAAGTCTATTGTGACTCTTGCAACATGTGGTCGGGCATTATCTTGTTGGAAAGTTGGATCTGCCAGGGTGTCAAGATAGGGTAAAAGATGGGGTTCTAGAACTTCGTGGATATAACGCTGCGCGTTCATGTTACCTCTGATGAAGATTAAAGGTGACCTGGAACCATAAGCTATAGCACCCCAAACCATAACTCCAACAGTGTGATGAACATGTCTTTCAACAAAAAACTGTGGATTCCTCCTTTCACCACGTCGCCTTCTAACCCTGGCACGACCATCGTGCATGCCTAAACAAAATCGAGACTGGTCACTAAAGACAATACTGTGTAATTCCTGATCCCAGAGTGACCGTTGTCTGCACCACTCAAGGCGATTACGTCGGTGTTCTCGAGTTAAACGGAGGACCCAGTGTGGCCGGTATGAAAACAAGCCAAAACTTCTCATTCGTCGGTAAACACTTCGCATGCCAATAGGTCTTCCGTGTTCTGCAAACCATTCATTTGCAATGGACCTGGTAGTGGAGAAACGGTCCATAATCTTAGGCGGCGATCTTCACGGTCTGTTGTTCTACGGCGGCGTCCAGTGCCCCTTGCTCTTTGCGTACGGCCTTCTCGAAGCCATGCCTGACAACACCTAACCACAGTGTCTACACTTCTTTGAACTCTAACTGCAATTGCCCGAAAAGAAAGTCCAGCTTCCCGAAGTCTCACTATACGGCCCCTATCAAACTCACTAAGTTGACGAAATCGTACAGGTCTCCGTACTCTAGGCATCGTAACCGATCGTAAAGGATGTCAAGAACCAAAATCCGCCAACGTTGATTCTTTACTGCGGCTGAAATATTCATTTTTAGAGCGCTGGTGAATTAAAAAAAAGCAGTATATAAATCGGAATGTCCAACTGATAAGGCTGAACATTTTTTCATATAAATACATTCACCAACTTTTATTAAAATAAAACCACTTAAACTGGGTGTTCGGATTTATATGTCACTTAGTATATTTGAAATCAGAAGAAGGGACAATAATTTGCAATAAAATATACAGGGTGTTTATAAAATGTAACTTTATTTGATAGCACGAAACAACCTGTGTACAAAAATGATATATGTAGCATATGAAATTCTACGTTAGCTAACTTTTGTATAGATCATTCTTTTTTCTGAACGACCAAACAAAAAAAAGACGGAGGTTAATGTAGGGGAACACTCTGTTTGGCGGAAGTTACGGCGGGAAGTGTCTGGCACTACAGAATACTACTCTCTAATATAAATAATGTTTTACACAGTGTATACGAAAAATCGGCCATCAGAATTTGAGTCATATTTTTACTTATCTTCCTCATCTGGTAGCTGTAAATCGACCATCTACCAAAATTAGCATGTTTAAGGTAATTAGTTATGACTGGCAGCCCTGGACCCTGGACTACTAAAATCTGTTTTACCTTGTCCCATCAATCTACAGTAGTAGCAGTAAGTGGTAATAAACTTTATAAGCCCAATATTGATTCAATATCCATTTATTTTTCTTTGTGGCTCCAATAACTTAAGATTCTTTATTTGGGATTGAATGTTGTTCTCACGAAGATTTCACGCTTATCTGAAGTTATGATGTGTCTTGCCTTATAGGCTGATCTGCTCATCTGACAAATTGTTGTTTCCAATCACTGATTAATAGGATTTAGTAGATTAGTCAATTATAATCAACGTACGTAATGTGGAATATTATCATAGATAACTAATAACTTTAAATATAAATAAATTTCAGGCTAGCCGTAAGTATCCGAATTTGTTTACGTTCCATATATGATTAAATAACAAATTTTGTAAATTTTGAGTGCAGTCATTAGGTTTTTAAAGGATCATTTTTGAATATACCGAACAATTGTTTCCTGCGACTCAATACAGAAATTATTGTTGTTGACTGTATTTATTTCCCTCATTATTTTGGTAGCTTGAAATTCCCATTACTTGATAAATTGGAGTATTTGACAATGAGTGATTCTGTGATCCTTGTACAGTGTTGCCGGACTGTCAGTAAATTCTCAAATATGTTATATTTCAAAGAATAATTAAAACAAAGAGAAACCTTTGCTCCTGATTGATGACTCTTCTCTAACAGAAAGTCTCGGGACTTTGTCGCACCGCCGAGGATCTAGCTCTCTTCTACTGCTATGCCATCGGCTTTTGCTCCTCTCCATGATGCCGCCGCGC